AATTTTGTGCAGTAAAACCTCACTAACTCAACAATTTGTGGATCCAGAGTTTGTTAAGTTTAGGGTTTGTCAAGTTATCCAGAACATTGAAGTTTTTAATGGGTTTTTATAATAAATGAATACATAACATACTAATTTTTACAATTTTATTACTTGCATGATTATTTTTACATTTTGAGTAAACAATCTTGAAAGAAATGTCGAATATTCAACAATTAAAACTAAATGTTTTGAAAAAATTGCTTTTTTCGTGCCTCTTGTCGCTTTTGACAGTTGAGTTACCAGGTGCAGAGCTAGTGAGGTTTTAGTGTATTTTCAAAGCCGTTTGGTGACATTCTAAAGCAATTTTAACGTCTAGAACTATATCCCAAAATCTCAGTTATGTTTTTAGGATTAAATGTATGATTTATTTTTCCACCACTGGGCTCATCTAACCTTAATTAAACCAGCTAATCTCAATACAACAAACTGTACCAGCCCATTGTGATTACAGAGAGTGTACGAGACAGCACTTAAGCTTGAAGTGAAGCACAACCCAGAAATTGTAACTGTCCGCTTGTGTGGACATGGTGTTGAACCGAAAATCAAACTTACACCAAAAACAGTTCAGTTTGGATCTCACGTCCCATTATCTGGTCCCGTGGAGAGAAGGTTCACCATTATGAACCCCTGCACGTTTAACGTTCAGGTGTATTTCCCAGACTTTGACAGGTATGGTTTTTTGTATTTTGCAATTATTGTTTAAAAACAACAACACTAAAATTAAAAAAGTCACAAGGAAGACTGTCAAACACTCAAATATTAAGACCATTATAGAAGAGCAAGGAAGAGCCTTAGCGGCGAGCACTGTGTGGAAATTCCTGTCGCAAAGTGCACAAAGTCTTCCTCCACTATGAATGTTGCCTAGTACATTAGGGTGAGGGGTGCGGTGTTGGACTTAACCACCAGCAGCTATACTTGGTTCACAATATTTAGGTGGTTTTATGGGAAGAAATCTATCCCCTCCACTCTTTGATTACCTTTAAAATAATAGCTCAAAAGGTGAAAAACAACATACATTAAGTTCAAAAAGTGGTGCTTGAACTTCCCCTCAAGCTTTCTAAATATTGTGAACCGATTATAGTGCTAGACACCACTTAGGTGTACCATTGAGTGTTTCCTCCGTCTGTACCTTGCTTCTTTGTGGCTGCAATCTATTTGATATAGAATAAATCATGCTTTAGAAGACTTGTAACTATTTTCTAAAATTTATTGAAAGTACCAGATTATTGTGTTCTGTCTACTCATCGTTGCAGAGCACAAGTAAAATAACCAGCTTAGCTTTATAATATGTACTCCACTTTTTTCTTGGCAATTAATTATTTAATTGTACATTACATTCATTCTTTCTTGATTCAGGGATATTTTGAATGAAGATAGAATGTTGCTTGTTCTGACCAAATACTACCATTCAGACAATTTGCTATTACCCTTGGAAACTTATGATAAAGTTCCGTTGCAAGATTTGGAAACATTTTACGATGAAGTGAAGAAACAAGCGTCTGCTGAAATAAAGTCAAGGGAGATCCAGAACGAAAGCTTTCATACTGGTAAATTAAAAGTTACCACTTAAGAATGATCTACTTATATCTCAGCTTAGTGTGAAAAACAATGTTCTAATTTTCCTCCCAATCAAGGTTAATCGTCTGGAGTACACAATAAAGGATTAGGTACTTTGTTGTAGAGTAACAATGGAACATTGAGCATAGGCCAAGGTTTTTAAGGTTTTTTATTGAGATGCCATTGTCACAGAGTGTGAAAGAGCCCATCCTTGCTTAACTTTATAAGTACAAATTGAAATTATAATATTCTACTGCCATTAAAATGATAGTTACTTTCTTTCCACGTCAAATTTTACATTGTTGAAATGCTGGAATTGACAGTGAAATGTATTCAAATTTTTGTATTTACCTAGGGTAGAAAAGTTACTGTGTGTATTGTGCCAGGAGAAAGATTTTTCTATCATTGAGGAAAGCCAGATATCGTAACAAAACTCCTTATTTTTACAGTCAATTAAATAACATGTGAATAATTACTTTCTATAATGGTATAGAAAACTTATTTTACGTTATTTCATTTCTAGTTTGTAGGTTAAATTTTTTTTAAATGTAGTAACGTCTTTTTTGTCTTAAAAATTGTGTTAGAAAACTTTCTAAATCATCCTAAAATAGGCGAATTTTTTCTTACTAAAACATAAAACAGTTTTTTTTATTCCCAAATCAAAAGTGGTTGTTTTTTTTCAGATATGTCAGGTATTTCTACAAGTAATGAGATTTTACATCCCAAATTGAGTCGACGAAGAACAAAACAATTAACCAGCAAGAGCTCATCAAGAAGTAAAAATAATAATTTAGAGTCTTATACAGATCTATTTATAAATTTAAACACAGAAGAAGTTGGATCGCATTTATTAGGTATTAAAAGGGTTTATATTTTAAAAGCAGTTGTACAATTTCAATTTCTAAAACAGTTAAAACTATACATAAAATTATGTTTTGTGTGATGTTTGTAGTTTCATTAATTTATGACAGCTGAAAAATCATGGAAAAAAGAAAATAATTAAAAAGCACATAAAGATGATACTTATTAAAAATGGAATTAAAAAGTTGAAGAAAAACATAGTGACGATATCCAGCAATCTTGGTAGATCTTTTGTTTATATTCGTAAATAAAATTTGAACATCTTAGAAATAGCTTGCAACACATAACATTTTTGCTTCAGAATACCTGGACGATCCTAATGTTCAAAAGCCAAATGATCCGTTAGGCCTGGAGCACAGGTGTTCTCCTGTTGTACCTGAAGAGAAGAAGAATGTTGGTCAGGGAACACTGTATGTCTTCCATGGAGCACCTTATTCTGGTGAGTTGGTCGCCAGTTTGATCCCGAAAAGTCAGTAACTTTTTGATGGTTTGAAACTTTGTCCTGGTTGCCCTATCATTGGACTTTTAATAAATATGGTTCTGGCTACAAAAATTTAACTGATCGTAGCCAGTAACAAAGCTATATTCCAACTCATTTCATTCTAGATACACTCTGTATTCATAATCAGCCTTAAATACAAATTTAATTGTGTGACATAGTTTTAGAGAATTGATTGAGTATAAAGCTTGAGATTGAGAATTGCTTTGAGTAAAAGTCAAAGCAACTTTTATGAGATGCTAAACCAAAATATGGAAGAAACTTTCACTGATTTTTCTACAATCATGTGAGATGCTTACAACATTACTGATATTCTGTATTTAAGTGATACCAAGAAAGGATCACGGCCATTTCACGTGATCCTATGAAATTGTCACTTATTTCGCCGCAATTGCAAAAAATAGTCACAGGCGGTTAAGTTTTAATAATCTCTGGAGACGGTCAAAGAATGCTGTGATCGTGTAAAATCATCATAGGTGTTGTCACAATCACATTATACTATCACAGATATTGCCGCGATCGTGAGAAATAATTAAAAGTGTTGATATTATAACCTGGAAGATAAACGAATGTTGCCAAAATTCAAAAGACATTATCATGTGTGTTGCCGTGATTGTGGGAAATCATCACAGATGTTGCCACCATTTTAAGATAATTTTAGATGTGGCCACAATTGCAAAAAATAGGCACATGAGTTGAAATAATCTCTGGAGACGATCATGGATGTTACCGTGATCGTGTGGCAATTTATCCAGGTCCAATCAATGCACGATTGTACTTACCAATACATATTCAAGAAATCATGCTATTATCTGCATAATATTTAGGTCGAGAATATGATGGAAGATATAGTTGGTATTTACCTCACTTATGATTGCGGAGATACGTACTTGTGAATGCATAAGGAATCACAGAAGTGAAGTAAACTATAGGCTAATGACCTTTTAATAGAATGTTCAGCTTCAACACTATCATTTTTTCTTTCAGATCCAATGGAATAATTACTTGACGTGTGATCACGACTAAAATAAAGACTAAAACCCTAAATAAAAGTGCAAAATCGATAATTAACGCAAACATTTATGATCTTGTCTTTGTTCCAGATTATCACTACTGTGCCAATAGATGTGGTCGAGTGTTAAACCTGAAAGTTACAACACTAGATGAGCTGATACTGCAAGAAGCTGCATCATCTGACAAGGTTGCTGCTGTGATAATACAACAAGCAATCAATAGTCTCTGTGAAGAAGCCACTGGTTCTGGTCGGTTTTGGTTAATTTTTAAGTTTTCCCATGTTTTCTCCAAGTAACACAGCTTTCGGTTTTAAATTGATGTTGGAGAGAATTAACAATTAAGAACAAACATTAAAAATAAGAAGGAACAGGCCTGTCACACACACAGTACTTTTTGGGCAAAATCTGAGCAAGATGTTGACTGGCTGTCTAGGATAGCTTCAGCAGGGATCTTCATGTGTCTGATAAAAGCATTGTAATTCCAAAACACCCATAGCAACAGTTACATTTTTTGAGCGTTATTGATAAAGTTAAAGCCTATTTTTTTGTAATTCTTAACTTGAGTCGCTAGCCTAACCACATTTTTATATCAACTGCATCTATTTATCTACCTATATAATAATAATAGTCTTTAAATAAAAATAATTAAATAAATAAAAATAGAATTAAAATGTTGACAGTGAATTTAAAATTTTCTCTGCTTTAAATCAGTGTAATTCTTTACCCTTGTTTAAGACTCCTTTTATTTTCAAGTTCCAATAGAAGTGTGGTCTTGCATTATTAGTGTGTGAGGGGGTACTAGTATATTTAATTTTTTCATTAGATGTATTCATTTAAGTAGCCAACAGTATGTTATTTAAAAAAATGTGTAATAAGAATCAGCCAAATTAGTAATATCCATAGTAACATCTTTATCTTTATCTTTCTTTTTCTTTTGTTAGAAATCTATCGCAAACCTAATTCAACTAAAAAAATAATAAATTTGATTATACATTGCTTTCACATTTTTGTGGGAATTATTTACCAGCAAAGTAGTCTAATTTAAAATTTAAATTGAAATAATGTATCCAAGTTCTAGTTGCGACAAGCAACGTAAAAAAAGTCGGGAGGGCTTGACATGGAGTGAGTCGGTGGTTCGAAGACGTCGAGCAATTGCCAGATCAGAGTCTGATTCTGACACTGAGGCTCCCACTCCTCCACCCTTCCCATCGGAGTGTCTAGTCCCAACACGTTTGCCCCAGCGCACAGAGAAAAAATGCAGCCACTGTTCATTTCCAAGATCCAACACTTCGTTGAGACAGTCTAGCAAGTCTTATTCTCCGAAAGATACAGTGGAGAAGAAAACCAGCAATGTGACTTTGCAGCAGTTGGAGACAAAGCTGTACAGTGCTGAACTGGAAAACGTGATGAACACGGAGAAGCTGGAGAAGGTAGAGAAACGTCTACGCAGAGCTGCACAGCTGTGCGAGGCATTGTTGTTGTATGTTCAGGGTGTCGACCTCCAAGTGCGAGCTGCGGCCAGGGCCACTCAGCTAATGGGCAGCTTGGCCTACAAAGACCTCAGCTTGACAGGTTCTCTCGTACAAGCCTTGGACAAAGTAACACAAGATACAAGTATATTGGAGAGACTCGAGGAGATACAGAATGCATTGTCTCATGCTAACGAGATCCCAGAACATTTGCACCAACTGGACGATGAGTTTGAAGAGAAACGTAGAAATTACACAAAAGCGTCAAACAGCTTTGGTCGTTATCTGCGGGCTGGATGTAATGTCTCCAGTGGTCAGCTTCACAAGTACGAAAACCAGTGGGATTCACTGCGTGGAGAATACGAACGAAGCAGGAAACGGTTAGAGTACGAGTATTCTAAACTGATAGATGACCGAAACGACGTTCTGGAGTTCTGCTTTTCAAAGTTGGGTCCAATCCAGGAGAAACTGGTCGAGCAGGATGATAAGTTTTCAGTTTTGTCAAAGGAAACTGCGAAAAGCCTTCGGGAGCATCAGAAACATAGCAGACAAGCCGTTTCTCAGACACAGAACTCAAAAACTCATCGTTAGATGTAATTTTGTTTGTGCAAAATATGTTTACCTAAATAAAGTTGTAATTATTTTTTCAGTGTTTCAGTTTAAAATTTGCATAGTTAATTGAAAGTAAATTCTTGAACAATGGAAAATAAAACACAGTGTACTCTAAAACACACACAAATAAATGGTTGTGTTGCTAGCCTAGAGGTTAGCGTCTCGGACTTCGGTGCGGAAGGGACGGGCTCAATCCCCGGCACACCCACTAACATTTGTTCTCTCGTGACTCTATCGTGAAATGCCACTGGCACTGGAAAAAAAACATTTCATATCTAGGGTGCTAGCAGAGTATGTTTGGGATTATTTGCACACAAATAATTAAGTCTTAAATTCAGTTTGGACCAAATACGGCCTAAAATAAGACAATTTATTTCTACAAATACTCTCCTGATTCTTTCTTTTAGTTCTTTTTTGCTGTTCATTTGACTTGCATAGGCGCGATCCTTATGAAAGCCCTGAAAAAAATCAGTCACAAGGGGTAATATCTGGTGATCTAAAATGCAAATTAATATGAGCTTAAGCTTTAATACAAGCTTCCATTGTGATTCTAACGAGACTCATGAACTATTTGTTATTGTTTACCAAGCAGCAAAAGAAAGGAATCAGCTGATGAAACTGTTACTGATTAAAACATGTTTTAGCCACTATTTCATGCGGTGTTTTTTGAAAACTTTTTTGTTGCATAGAAAGAGGATGGGAAGATGGTAAAGTTTTTTTATAAACATCCTGTATTAATAAATGCAAAAAGGTATAAAAACCATATGATAAAAACTTTACTTGACATATTTATAAAAATATATCCCTTTCAGACCCAGCAAACTCATTTGTGTAGGTAAATTTTTAAGTCCTGACAACCTAACCAACACAATATTGTGTAGGTTAGATGTTTATTTGTTTTTTTTTTTTAAGTTTCTGGATCTTTCTGTTTCTCAGACCTGTACGCATCGATTGTGTATTTTATGGAGATCAGGTGGGAATTGTTGTTTTGCAGTCTGCCTTCATGTCTTATGGTAACACTGATTGTTTTGTTGCAATGTCACGGTAAGATAGGAGAAAGAGGCAATTGTTAAGGTTAATGACTGTTTTATTTATGTTTTAAACGTATCTAATGCCAATTATTGCTGAAACTGAATTGGTTAATATGGTATTATGAAGGTTTCGTTTTTAAAACAAACCTAATCAATAATTTTAGTATTTGAAATCTAGGTTAAAAACCAACATTTATTCAAAATTTGCTCAGGACTTTAAGCGGTCGAGATGACTAAGATTCCCGGGTCTGAAAGGGATATAGCAAACAAAAACAATACCATAGGTGACACACGAAACAACACGAGAACCATGAATACAGCATTCATCAGAATAACAGATAACATTCAGCCTGTCAGAATAACTCTTATGACTGTGGAATCTACTTGATACTAGGTGTTGAATACGTGTTGCAAAAGACAGGATACAACAACAGCAGTTGTAGCAGTGATACACAGGAGCTTTGTACAACAATTTTGATAAAAATTTAGTATGTTATTGGCCTTTTAACTCTAAACAAAACAGAAAACCCTCCACTGCTGTAAAAAATATGGTCAATAAGTTATTGTAACTTTTCTGATTTTCCCCATGAAATTTCATCATCACTCCCCGGGTTATCCATGATAAAGATTGTTGACAAGCTAATTGAAGAAAGTGTGTGTCAGATTGCTGATATCTTTTATTTAATTATTGCTCCAAATGTATATTTTGGGTAAACCATGAATTATTTGTCCCTCAAGTTTAATTCAAAATTGTTCTTGCTTAATTTTTTTTATATCACTTCTTTTTTAGGGGTGAGTTATGAAGAACTTTGTGAAAGAGTGGCAGTTTTAAAAACAGTTAATGAACATATTCTTGCTGATCAAGACAATAATAAAGCCTCTGACAAAAAAGCTCTTTCATCAAGGCCTGGCACAGGTAAAAAGATTGCTATCAAGAAAATCCCTGACACCTTCAGTGATATTCCAGTCCAAATATTTGTTGATCTTCTCTCTGATAAGTGAGTAAAAAAGCTTATTTTTCTTTTATTTACTCACAATTATTTTCTTTGGTTATTGTATTAAGCATTTCGTTTTAACTAGGGGTTTGCGGCAGGGCAGATTTACCGAATAGGCACGGTAGGCACGTGCCTAGGGCGCAAGGCAATTGGCTTTTTTTGGGGGCGCCAAAAATTTGGAAAATAAAAAAAAATTGGTGGTTGTTTGCATGCGATTGCGGCAAACTTCTGATAATCCCTCGCGGCCGTGTAGACATCGTAATTGTCTCCCGCGTTTGCGGCGAGATTCTTACTATTTTCAGCGGTCAGGTCGTTTAGACATATTTATCGTCTTCCATTATCGAAGCAATATATGAGCATATACCGCGGTCGTGATTATCATCGTCTACCGTGAATGAGGCAAAATTCTGATCTTTTCCCGCGGTCGTAAGATGTTATAATATACTCATAACATTTACTATATTATCTGTATTGAAGAAAAGTAGTAAAAGTGTAAAACGGACAAATAAATTATGAAGTGATACAATAGTGAGGCAATGCCTAAGACTAATAATAATAATGATTGTTGCTCTCTTTTTTAGACTCTTGGAGGAAGTAGAAAGAGGGCTGGTTTTGGAATCATTGACTGGATTCTTTTTGAAAACTCTGAGTTCAGCCGTGAATGTTATCCTGAAATGTGTCGGCCACATCAGCTGTTTACACTTTGTGTCTATCTTTGGCTCACCCGAGGTGCACGAGGAGATGAGAAAGAAAAGTTTGGACGAGAAAGGTAAATCAAGCACTTATCTGGTTCTATTTTTTGTGGTAAGTAACGTATGTTTTCAATTTTTTACTAAGAAAGTAATAAACTGTCTGAATTTTGAGATAAACATCGCCAAATGTGTATCTTAAATGTTACATATAATTATGCCTATAAATTGCAGGTTTTTAGACACCCTATTATATAATATGGTAGATGTTTTCTAAAAAATAAAAATACTATTCACAAAGTGTTTACGGTAATTTGTATTCAATTACAGCTTTACTTCAGTCAAGAGTGGAAAATGAGAAGTTTTTCGATGCTACGCTTTGTGATACACAGGAACAAAACTCCAGTTTTGACAAAGGATTGGATCACAGTTCTCTGGTGGAGGAGAGAAGAAGATGGCTCCAAGAGCTGAAGGCCAAGAGAGGAGCTGACACTAAAACATCACTTGCTGTCTCCCCCCAAACTACCGTGGTATGTGCTAAGTAAGGCTTATTGTTGGTGTTGTCCACGGACGTACCTCACCTCCCCAAAGTGTTACAAAATAATATTGCAATTTTCAATCAAATTATGATTAATAAATATACGGTTTATTGTAAAACTTTAATAAAAAACAAAGTTATGAAACGATGGAACAAGTTACCAACAGTCACTGAAAAATAGCTTTATAGCACCTGGATAACTAACTATAACTTGCAATCAATCCACTTATTAACTGAATTAATCAATGAAAACAGATTCATCAAGGAACATATTTGATTAACTTATTAAAAGGGCTTTTTAGAAAATAATGAACATTTCCATCTTATGCCAGAAAAACTTTTGTGGCCTAAGAAGGTAAATCACGGAGAAGTAAGATACAGAGAAAACAAGCTTATAGAACAACCATGCGCTTTTAGCTCTGGAATGGTGGGGCGGAAATATACTAGTATCGAGCAAGGAAGAACCCAACAGGCTATTGTTTGCAACATCAGTTGTAGCGCACAGGCTGTTTCACAGGGTGAGCGCTGTAATACGTGATGGTGAGAGGAAAGAGGGGAGCGGAACGGGAGGACCAATAGAATTTGCACTTGACACAAAAGTTTCCTCTGTATCTTACTTCTTTGAGGGTAAATCATATTGATGAGTCAACAAAAATGATTCTAGTAGGCCTACATATTTATCTTCTAAAGTGCACACATTATATGATCAGCCAATTTATTCATTTTTATTGACTGACATGAGTTAAACAAATTTTTGGTTGTATTGTAAAACAATACCTGAAAAATATTCTTTGATTGAGACTCAGTAGGTGGTTAAGGGTGATTCCAAAGATAAGGATGGAGTCGTTTGGGTACTATGGTAAAAGAAATACAGCAACAAACACTAGTTTACACTATCAAAAAGAAGCTGATTTATCATAGCATGTACAAACACAAGCCACGATAGTATGAGCTCTAGTTAATTAATAATTAATAGTTAATGTTATTAATTAAGTATTTTTATTTTAGAGATCTAAAAAGTCTGTTAAGAAATCGAATTTGGATTCACCGGCTACAAAAAAGTCCAAGAAGACAGAAAAATCAGAGAAAACGCAGAATAGTAATGCGAGGAAAAGTAAATCTGGAAAAGCGTCCATAAAAAAAGCCTCCATGAAAAAAGCATCAGGTTAGTAACTGTTTTTCAGTTATGATGTTTAAAAAATTGTTCTATGATTAATAATATCAAAAATATTATTTGCATATAGTTTAATACTACTAAAATGGTTTCTCATGTCAAAATTCTTTCTTTTAGTTTTTTCATGTTTATGAAAAATCCGTGTTTAATACTGGTTCTACTACGTTCCAGAAAACCTGATAACATTGCTTTAAAATTAACAGATACTTGTCATGATCTTTGTTAGTGTAGTATCATGTTTCAAAGTGTAAAATTATTTTAGCGGATGACACTGTACTCAAAGAAGCTTTTGAAAACTATGAAATAGAGCTTCAAGAGCTAGTATTTCTACTGAGCCGATGGAACAAGGACAAAGCAGATTTTGATGTAAGTTTAGTTTAAGTTCAATTGTTATGGTTCAATGATCAGTAACTCTTTGAATCTCCCTAATTTTCAGGCCTCATTTTGCCTCGAGTGCCAAATTTAAACACTTAAAAAAATAATTTGTATTTGTAGTAATTAAATAATGTATAATATACTGTATTCATAAAAGAATATTTTAATTATGTATTT